CTGTAAACAATTTTGCGGTGAGAAGTTCGAAAATCGCAAGCCACAATTGAAGCCCTACGCCTCATCTATTCTGAGAACTTGGCGTCACTCTTCAGTATCTGGTCCCCTGCTGTCAAAAAACGTGAATTGAACCTTCAACGAACAGCATCCCTCAAGTTTAACCCAACGACGCAAACACAGCCAGCCCCAAGATGCTGGCTCCATAAGGATAGAGATGCCTCGTTGAAGCCGACCTCGTTCAGAGGCACGCCAGCTGCACTCAGCATGTAAATGAGGAGAACCGCATGGATTGCGCCATCGCCACCGCCACCGCCGCCGCCAACACCACCACCGCCACGGCCGCCTCCGCCACCGCCGCCGCTCCCACCACCACTGCCACCAGCACCAGCAGCGGCAGCGACACTGGCAGCGGCAGCAGCAGCGCTAGAGGCAGCACCAGCACCAACACCAACACCGAAGACGAGGATGACAGTAGCAATGAGAAAGCTGGCAGTTTCCAATCATGCTACTTATAACATCATCAGCAAGACTGAGACATGTGAGAAACTCTGCTGTGATATCAATGACAGCAATAACAGCACAACATCTTTCCACGTGTGAATGCTGCTTCCAGAGCAATTAAACAATGGCAGCACAATAACTCGACCGTAGCAATCATCCCCCTCCCCCACCCTCCTGAAAAAACGAAAGAAAAAGAAACAAACACCTACTACTCCCCCAACATGTGTGGGAGCTGTTGGGCCGTGAGCAATTTAGGAAGAAGGGGTCAATGACATCTTGCCACGTTAGAACGCCCCTCAGAGCCCCGCGGCCGGGGAGAAGCCTAAGCGCTTGCTAGGACCTCAGCGGATCCAAAGATCAAGTCAATCCTCATTCCAGCTCCTATACGAATCGATGAGAATGAGCACCACAGGCAATGTTCATAGCAGCAGGACTGAGGACTGGCTGAAAATAACTGTTCCACTGGAAGGGTGGTGACAAAAACAGCAATTCGTGCGAGAGTTTCTCAACATTGGGATGCTAGGTAGGTTTTGAATCTTGGCGCAATGTGGGGGTCACTATTGGTTATCATGTACTGGCTGTTTTCAGAACACATACACACAGACTTGAGTTCCACGATAACCCTAACGATACAGGGTCCACCGAAGACTCGACAAGCACAACAGCGCCCTCGACAGAAGCACAACAAGGATACTTCCGCAAAGCGCAGCGGATTTCTGAGATGCAGCCGCCTGCTGAGGGCTCTGATGTGGCTGCTGTCGCTCAGGGATTTGCTGTCGAGGGAACTTTGCTCGGACAGTCTCACCACGGGTAGGGATGACACAACCTGCAGCAGGCATCAGCGCGCAAAATCAGGTGCAGCGGCTTGAATGGAAAACGCTCGTTTCTGACATCACTTCTGGCATCATGCTGGTTACCCTCTTGACAGACCCCTCGCAGGGCTACCACGGGACCTGAGCACTAATGAAGATGGCCTCACCCCACTTTGATGGCGATGGCACCTGGAACAGGTCACGCATCTTTCGTTCAATGAAGGACCATGAAGCTTCCCAGGTACTTGACTGTGTGAAGTCTCCAAGTTCCAGCACGCGAAGCTTCCAATTTTCTTTCGAACAGGGAAGCTTGGAATTATAGTCTGCAAGTCCAGCATGCGCTGCTGGAAGGCAGGAACCGATGGCTTATGCAAATCAGACTTACGAATTCTTACCACCATGGTTCCTGAACGTTCACCGTAGCACTTCAAAAGTCTCTGCTTTCACTAGTCAATGTTCTCGATTAATAAAAACCCCCCAAGGTTGAAAGAACCTAATTTTGGACAAGTTCATGGTCCAAGAAAACTTCAAAAGCCGGGGCTGTTTTGAACCCAAAAACCTCTGGCTTTTAAAGCTCCAGACCCTGGAAAACAAGGAAGGTTTTGCTTACTCAGGAGATCAATTTAGAAGGCAAACTCTATAAGCTGAAGCTTAAATCATGAATCCTCAAATCCTAAATGAGGAAGCTTTTGATGCGGCTGCTCTCAACATAAAAAGTCTGAGACCTGATCTGCTCTTGAATCAAAGGCTGAAACATTGCTTCCGGAGCTACCCCTGACGGACCGTGCGTGAGAGGGTCTTTCTTAACACCTACGAGAAAACCTCTAGAGTAATAGATGTTTTTCCAAGGTCATGACTTTCAGAAACCTGCTAGAAATCATCTAGTTACTGGATTTCAAAGCAATTACAGAAGTGCTGGCTCGGAAGCCTGATTTGCGTACTAAGGCTGCTCTTAAGGAGAGAGAAAAAGAGAGCGGGATTATGAGACCTGATTTGCTCTTTAAAAATCATTAATCAAAGGCCCAACGTTGCTTCCTGAGCTACCCCTAAAGCCCCCCAGAATAACTGCAACGTTCAGGGGCATTAGCTTCGGAACCTTCATGTACTTCAAATCAGTTAAGATCTACTTTGAATAAATGAACTAATATCAGATTACAACCAACCAGAAATCTAGTTAGGCTTTGCTTTAGATGAACAAAACCTTAATTGACAAACAACTAATTTCTAATTGACATCAATTTAATCGGAATTCCTCATCCACTAAGGCACGCTCCTGCTCCTACCTGATACTCTGTCTATTGCTGCTTCTGCTTAAATGTGCTACTTGTACTTAGCATGATTTACGTTACCTTTTCGGATACCGGATCTGTAGATTAATGGGGCTCGGGCTTCATTTTGCGGGGTGGGCCTGATCAATCAAGCGCACGGATAAGCGGTCCTACTGCAATTTTGGCATGCATCTAAGATTAGAATTTGCAAAGGGCAGGCGTTCCCACTCCACTCGGTGGCTGCTTGTATGAAAGTACAAGGAACTTGTGGTCCCCTAAACCCACCCTAAACCCTAAATCCCAAATCCTAAGCCCTGAACCCTAAATCCTAAACCCTAGACCCTAAATCCTAAACCGTACGCCCTAAACAATAAACCCTAATCCAATCGAGGAATTGCCCATGAGAACCATCCCCTCTCGGATCCCTATAGGATCCTTGGCATAGAAGGTCTAAAAATGGCAGTCCAAGGTTTTTTGCGCGGTTTGGGTTTTGGGCCTGGGGCTCACGTTACGCCGTGACTGCCGCAGCAAACAAGAAACTACAAAGTTGTTTGCCCAACCCTCATGGACCACTACATTTTAAACTCCTCAGCCCCAAATCAAAAACCCTAAAGCCCTACAACCTACCACTCTGAGTCCGAAAGCCCGAAATCCCAAAACCCTAAATCCCCAAACCCTAAAACCCTAAATCCCCCAAAACCCTCAAACCATAAAGCCAAACAAACCACGGCCGCAAAGCCTGCGCAGCTGTTCTGGCAGGTTTGCGCGGGGGAGTTGAGCCTTAGTTTGGCCGGCAGGGTGCTTAGGATTTAAGGTTTAAGGATTAGGGTTTAGGGTTCAAGATTTGGGATTTTAGGTTTTTAGGGTTTAGGGGGTGTTATCCATAGGATTTAAGGTTTAAATGGTCCAGAATTTCTACAAGGCACAAACAGGTTCCGCGGGTCCAAAGGGTTTCCTTCATCAAAACCTACACCCAAATCCGAAAGGCTAATCAACGGGCACTTAATGTTGGCCTTATAGCGGATTCGTAGAAATTCACTACAGCGCGTAGGATCTGAAATGATGAGGATCATGTCCCAAATCTTGGTGCATGCAGGGAGCAAGAGAACATATCATATGGGGGTTATATAGAGATCATATTCTTTCCCCTACTCAGAGCCAGAGGGTTTAGGGTGCCAAGGGCTAGTCCGGAGACAAAGAGGATGAGGGAACACTGCGCAAGTGAAGAAGGGGACGCGAAGGGGAGATCCAGCAAGCGGGTGCGAGAGTTGAGATGAGCCATAGTCTAAGCTCTTAGTATCCCCCTTAATAACCCCCATGATGCTCCCTTATATAATCCCCTATATAATCCCCTTCCAGGAGTTTAGACTATAGCTCAGATGAACTTAGTTTCAGCTGCAGATCCTGCCTCTCAAATGCTTTACCTCGTGATGCTCATCTTAACACAGACCGCAAAGAGCTAAACCAAGGACACCTTCATCCGGCAGCTTGCGGATTAAGCCTGCATAACCAAACATGTCTGATGAAGTTGACGCTGGTATGGGCTGCAGCTTACCCCTTAGTGTATGCGGATGTGGCATGGTGAGTGCTACTTGAAACATCTATGCAAGACTTTGTGTGCATATGTTAGGCGACTCATGTGGATAAACGACCTGAGCATTAACCCTGCGTGTTAAAGGCTGAGCTGCAGCGTAACCCACAGCGAGCAATGTTGGAGAATTGCAAAGTTGGAGATTCATCCCACCCTCGAACCACAAAACATAACAAAATCTCGAAGCACCCAAAGTCAAGGCATTGCTCCTGACATCTGACTTGTCAAAAATCTCTCGGGATTCGAGCATCTGTACTCTGCCTAAGTATTCGTTTCCTCAGTCACGGACAGAAACAACGTGTCATCTGAAGGACGGGAGAGAGCGGGCAGTCTTGACATGGATCCTGTTTCTGAGAGATGCCTTGTTGACTGGCGGCCTCTGCACAAGGTTCGGCGGATATGTTCTTCACGCACAGCAGCCCTGCTTTGCAGTTGCCGTGCGCAACGCTAACCCCTGGCATACATACTGTGATTACACCTGGTCTTATCTTGACCTCGCTCTTGGTGGTGTTGCTGCTGGTACCTCTGGCTACTAGCTCTTCTTCCTTACCAGTACTTGCTGTATGATGGGCTGTTCAAGTCACTAGCGCAAATGTGACTATGTGTGCTGACACCCGCAAGACTCTTCTTCAGATTCAGTCCCGCGGGATCCTAGCAAACATACCTCTGAGATGTCCAGGATTTTCCAAGACTCTGAGGCAAGCCTGCAAAAGGGAGTTTGCTTAAATTACTGCTTCCAAAGTGAGGGAAAGTAGTCTAAGAATCCAGCCTATAATCTGAAAATCTGGGGACCCGTATGGGACTAAGGGAACTCCACGTACGTGGATGTCACCATGCATCCACCACTTCGCTTCTCGCGTCCGGAAGCAGTTTCTCGAACTTCTGAATGTCCGCCATGGTGCGGCTGTAGCTTCTATCCTAATTTGCGGGGCTTTCTCAAAACAGAGGTACCCTTCAAACCCCCGGGGTACTCGGGGATAACAGAGGAGTCTTGAGGGTTCCCATCATGAATTCTGCAAGTGCAAATTTGACACACTCTTCTTTAGACAGGTGCCAAGGTTTGGGTCTCTGAAAAGCAAATAACATCAAGTAACCAATCATGGGATCATCATTCTAGGCCCCCCCTCCAAAAAAAAAGAGTGCTTGCTTGGCGTATATCCACTTCTCCAAACACATAGGGAAGAAGGGCGCTTGCACATATTAGAAGACTGCACTGCCTGTAAGCAAAAAAACTCGAGCATTGCTATTGCAAAAAAGTATCCTCTGTCGCCTCCATCATGCGGTAATCGCTTCCGAATCGCCTGAGGATGTATCCTTCCTTCACGCCCTTCTTATCTGCAGGAAAGGTGACTTTCGAGACCACCGGTGGCGAGTCAGAGCCGAAGGCAAGGCCTAAAGGCTTCGCATGCCACATGAACTCTCTCACGGTCTTGTCCGGCAGTTCAAACTCGCATATCATGCCTTGGCTGTGTCGAGGCATGTCGGCTGTGTAGGTGCTTGCAAAAAAATCCCAAGCCCTTCATGTGTTACTACAAGTATAGGGAATCCCCAAGGTTCACTACCCCCTCCCAGCCGAGGCTCGAATGGCTGTGGGGAAGTTTGCCATGTGACCAGAGATGTCACTGAAGACCTCATCGAAGGTCTTGCCCTCTGTGGTCTGCAGGTTGTTGGTTTCCTTAGGCAGAAAGGACTGCTGCACGTTAAAGGGCACCGGGTGTTGGACCTTGCAAGACCGCATCCAGCTAGAGCCGCAACTGAGGCCCCATCTAAGCCGTAGCGCTTGAGCTTATCGCCCACTTTAATGTTTAAATGCAAGGCCTCCTCGTGAACTTCGGTCACCTGGGCTGTTCAGGAATCCCTCAGCTCTGAGTACGGGAGAACTCCGACGGCTTTTGCAGGGCTAATCGGAAATTTAGAAAGAGAAGGGTAAAGAGACTCACCGCTGAGGACTTGATCAACTCAACATGCGAACCGCTGAACAGCTGTGTCACTTTCATCGGCATGACCTGGTCGAAGGACACCCCTAATGGCTTCGTCTTCCACTCGATCTGCCGGTGAATCCCATGGGAGGTCTCAAACTCCAGCATCAGGCCTGGCTGAAGTTGAAGACTCTCCGAGGGCACTGAGTGGTTGGACGGCAAAAGAGAAGTTTCTCTGATCATGTGCAATGATGCTTCATCTTAAGCTTATGGGTAATTACTTTGATGCAAAGCAAGGGCCCACATGAGCAAACGCTGGTTCAAGGTTCATACCATGGTATGCTATACTGGCTATACTACGGTATCTGAACTGCAAGGGAACATTACTGGCAACACCTACTATTCCCGTTTCCGTACTTCCTGAACCCCTGAAACTGAAGGTTGCCCGTGCCACCCAAGCCACGCGGCACTTCGGGAAGTTGCGAAACTAAGTCACACAGCTGCGTCCAGAACTCCTCGTAAGACTTGTGCGAGATAGGCCGCAGTCCCTGGCTTTCCTCAAGCATACAAAAGGCTTTGCGGCCAGCATGTGGCACCCGACATGTTTGTGATTGAATGCGTTGGATAACTTGCTTGTTGCTCCCGATCTGAATCAGTGAAGGGTGTCTGTGTGAGCGGGCCGCAAGCTCCGCCATCGCCTTTCGTGTCTAGCACGACTTTTCAGTTGCTGCCGCTCGGTGCTCGGGAAAGTCACAATTTCCCCTTTCAAGCCGCAACTGACTGTTGTGACACATCTACATACTGCTCTTTTTTTGGCAAAGGCACACCCCGTTTGCCTGGCACACGCCTTTAATCCGACCACCGGGCCCCGCTGCAACGGGCGCATACGTGCTGTTCATGTAGATTCAGATTTTAGCTACATCTCAGCTTCAGGCGGCTCGCTTTGGTTTCTTTTACCTTAAGCACACCTCACCGCACTTCGTTGTATTTTGCAGGCTTTCAACCGAGGGCCAGGCGGTGCCGAGTCTCACGAGCTCGTCATCCTCAACCACCCCATACCTGGATAAAATTCGGAATTACTGTTTGATAAATATGCATTCGTACATAGGTACAGACAGACGGCCGGATGGACAGACCGACATACATGCACACACGCATACCAAGACATGCACGTGCGTACGACTACTACCTGCGCATGATACAATCACATGCGCGTACGTTCACCTATCACTTCATGCGCAGGCGTATACGCATACGCACGTACAACTACGAACACATCTGGACCCTTTACATGTGCATACACACATACATATGCACATGCGCACATGTACACACATACAGATATGCATGGGCAGACTGGCAAGCGGGCAAACACACAGACGTGCAGAAACACAAAACACATAAGTACATAACAGCATAAATGCCTGACTGTTGGTAGAGTAGGATGAAATCACATTGGCACATGCACGTACATACCTGCACGCATCAGGCTTGAACACATTGGCAGACTCATGTGTAGGTCTATACATAGCCACGCTCTTTCTAGGTCAAGACTATATTGCTATGACAGCAAAACATGTTCCAAGAATGGCCCAGCTACTGCATTGCGTCCTCGCTGACGTAGGCCACAACGGCGGGCAGGGACTGATGGAAGCCCAAACCCAAAGGCTTGTTTCTCCATATGCCTGTGTAGCTGACGGAAGCGCTCCCCAACCAGCAGACTGGGAAAGCTGATCCAACTCTGGGAAAACGGCCCTTTAATCTCCTCACACTTTTAAATGAACACGCAATCCTCCTATGATTGAAAACTCCGCTTTGATTACACGACCATCATAGGAAGTCTTTCATAATGGGATGGTAGGGATGTTTTAGAACAGGGGAAGAGATTAGAAGCGGGACCTGTCTGCAACCAGCCCGTTGGCGTTCGGAACTCTAGGACTACAGCATCGTTCTCTCCCACAACCAGTGGCGGTGGTGGCTTCGATGGCGAAGAGGAACAGCACACAATAGCAACGATGACGGCCGCGCAGCCACATCCACCCATGACCCAAGCAAGCAGAGTCCAGGGTATCCTGCCCAACCGATTTCAGAGGAAAGAGCCTTCTCGTCAACTAAAATATGGTAGTTAGTTTCCCTAAAATGGGGGACCCCAATCAAATTCCCAAACTATTACAGTCCTTATTATACAGACACCCAAAAATGTATCCCTAACTATGGGAAACCACCGACCACCTACATGAAAAATCAACAAGTCGTAAATCCAGCCCAGCCTGGACTTAAGCTTGATCACCATCAAAGCTGTGCCGGGCTGTAAGGCATCTCCTGGCGATTTAGGGTTTAGGGTTTAGGGGTTTAGGGTTTAGGGGTTTAGGGTTTAGGGGTTTAGGGTTTAGGGGTTTAGGGTTTGTACCCCTCAGGTTCCCCCATGGGGTTACCCCAATCTGGCCCTGATACAGCCCTCAAATGAAGCAATACAATCCCATAAGGATTGGATCCTTTACCCCAGGGGTACTACCCCGAGTGATACAACCCTGTGATCCTGGAAGGAGATCCGACAAAAGCTCCACGACTTGACCATACACGTGTGATTGCCTGGGCAGCCGTACCGGGACTTTGCTCAAGGCATGTTGAATCCTTTGCGGGTTTTAGGGTATGGGGACTGTCTCCGAATCCTAGTAGGGATTGCATGGGATAAGATCCATAGCAGATCTGAACTCCTTAACAGTAGCCAGTTGCACTTGATGGGTGTTGCCCAAGTCGTCGACTACAGTATAGAGACTATCACTCTCGTCCACCACATCACCTGGGGCAACTAGCCAGCTTTGAAAGGCAGCTTTCCCTGCGCGAATGGCAACTTCTCCATGCTCTTCGCGCAAAGACTCCTGCAGCTGATGGTTCTGAATGAAGTCTGCTGCTGGATGTTGTCCCTGAGGAGTTGCCGCGCAGAGTACGGCCGCTTCAGCTGTGAACTGAAAGGGCTGATGGCCGCTGCCCGCGCCGCTCTGAAGCTCAAGCTTGAAGCTGTGGACGTGGGAGAAGTGCAAAGAAACAACTCTGCTGAAATGGGCCAGGCTGATATGCTCAGGGTCTGTGAGATCCTCCAGGGCTCCGCGGTCGGTAGCAGTAAACGTCACGCTGCCCTCTGTCATGTTCTGATGAAGAGCAACAACTGAATTGTTTGTGCGGACGACATCAGTCCAGTTGCCGACCACATCCAGAATCTTCACAGCCTTCCTGCTATTCACCTTATGCCTCATGTGAATGTCATAAAACGATAATGCAAGCTGAGGGAGCGTCACCGCGTGTTTCGTCTTCGACGACCGGAAGCTCACGTTGGCCACAAGCCTGCTTAAACCAGACGTGGTGACAACGCCGAAGCCGTCCTTGATTCCCATCTTATGGGGCTTCCAGAGGTGGAAATCACTGTTCAGCGCAACCATCACCATCTCAACTTCTGTACCGTTGCCACCTGGGGGGGTACTGCTGCTAGGGAGTTAGGGCCAGGTGTTCGCCTGGTGAAATGTAACCTCAGCAATGCATCTCGATTACTCCTGGCGAAGCCGAGCTACATGGAGGTCTTGAAGAGATCCGTCAAACTATGTACTACAGGATGCATGCCTCCGCTTGCACAATCACAACCTCGAAGACTTTTAGAGCCATATGAATCTTACATATGTGCACCCTAATTCCCTTCATCTTGCAGAATTACCAGCATGCGACGCGTAACGTTAAACCTAAACCCTGAACCTTGCACACAAACTCCAAGTATTGGAAAAGCTTAGCCTGAGCCCTCAACCCCAAAAAGGCTAATTGATTCCATCAAGCCTGCAGGAAACCTTACTCAAAAACTCCGACAAACTTCTAAACCAATCTAATTTCCGATCCCAAGATCCCCAGATCCCAACCTAATGTTTGGCGTAACCCCATCATTCATTCATAAAGACATACAGAACCTTGCAGAAATCCTATCCGACCTAGTATGAGGATTTCTTAACATGGGTTTTCCTGCGGGGTTGCAGGTATGCGAAGGGACATTCTATTGAAACTCACAGACACCTTGCAACCAAAGTCTGAACCCTAAATCCTGAAACCCGAACCTTTACCTTGAATCCTAACACCTGTAAATCCTGAATCCTCAACCCTTAATGGTAGTTTCCATTTTCTTTTCCATTATCCCCATATAACGCTCAACATTAAACCCTATCATTATTTTAAAAACCGACGGAACATCCTTGCAAGTGGGGCTTCCCTGCCTACGAGTCGGAAGATCATGCTCTCCTCCCCGCTGTCGGGGCCGTAGCCTCCCAGGTTCCTGTGAAGCATGTCCTGGGTTTCAGGTTTTTGAATCTGAAAAGAGCCTACCTGAACCCCAAAAGTAGGCAAAATAAAAGCCCAAAACACTTAGATATAGCCCACAAGGCCATTTTTCTTCCTACTTTTGGGGTTCGGGTAGGAGTCTTGGCATGTAGGGCAAGGTGGCCTAGAGTTTAGAGGGTTAGGGTACAGGGCCTCCGAGCTCAATCCATTTTAACTGTTTCTTGTTTAACACGTCATCCCTCGAAGTCGAAGGTCTTCGTTCTGGGCCCTACTCCATCCCAAACGAAGACGTCACTAACCCGTTTTTCCAAGACCTTTCTTGCCAACCCTTGATCCCAACTCCTCCTTGTCATAGCTCCCATTTCCCACAACTTGCTAAGCCCTACCCGCGCCCCCTAAATAGCCCGCTGTAACTAAAAGAAGCGACTACTTTGACGTCTCAAGCGACACTACCTGTATTTATGATGTAATCTTCTATCCTGTTGCTGAAAAAGAACAGAAGCAAAAAAAGAACTTGTGACGACTTCCGTCTCCAAGAATGTAGGAGCCTGAATAGTATCATTGCCTCGATTGAGCTGAATGTGGGGTAGGATTCTTCCAATCATTCAGGCTTCCATATTCTTGGACCTGATGCCGGTCCAGGTCTCCTCTAACCGCAGGCCGGAGGAGCAGTCTCCACCGGTCCAGAGACGCGTTCCTGGCACTTCTCTTCCTTGGCAGGCTCATCCCCTTTCCGTCATAAGATTCTTCCTTTTCGTCTGTTCTCTCAAGACTAGTAGGCTGAGGCCTGAGACTACTTATTCGCCTCCCTGCTAGTACTGCGCTTGCCGTGTTCAATGCTACTGCTACTGCTACTGCCACTGCTGCCACTGCTGCTGCTGCTGCTGCTGCTGCTGCTGCCGCCGGCACTGCTGCTGCCGCCGGCACTGCTGCTACCGCCACTGCAGCTATGGCCATTCTTGCTGCCACTACTTGTACTTGTACGACGTACGGCTGCCCACACCGGTGCTTCCACACCTCTGCTTCTCCTGCTGCTATTTACCGCCACCACCACTGCCTCTGCCTCTGCCTTTGTGCCGTTTCCGCCTCCGCTTCCGCCTCCGTTGCGAAGGGATCGCTGGTTCTGATTGCCACCGTCCCTGAATCCTACAAGGTCTCAACCTCGCTAATTTAAATCAAAGCCCCTTCTTGAATCCTGAAATTCGAAGCCGACCTTTTTGGAAACGAGCTGCTACCCACAGCATTGTTGCTGCCCGACGCCTGGGCATGTCGTTGTGGAGGGGATCGGACTTGGATTTTACCCCAATAATGGAAAATCAAATGGAAAAGAACATGGGAAATGACATGGAAACTACTATAGTTGGGTTATATCTAGGGTTCAGGGTCTCCAAGGTCGAGTCAAGGGTTCAGGACTGCGGGGAATGACTTTCTTTTCTTTCTTGCGCCTTTTTTCAAGAAAGGAGGCTTGAGATGGTTGACATTTTGTGTTGGGGTGTTTAGGGTTTAGGGTTTAGGGTTTGGGGTTCCGGAGTCCATTTGAATTCAGGTTTGGGGCTTCAGTGTGCAATGCATCAATGAAGGATCCCAAATATGTAAGGCTTCCTCAGCCACTTGAATGCTGGTTGCAGTGGAACCAACCTGGAGCTTCGTAGTGGCAAGTCCAAGAAACATAGATATCGCTTCATGCCACTACGCAATCTGTTTGGCTTCATCTGTTGGGCAGCCATCCAGACTCAAGTCCCAAACCCTGAACTCCAAGCCCTCAACCCGAAGCCTCTTCAAAACGGGTCTTCCCCACGAGGATGGCAGATGTCGCAAGCAACACGAAGAGCAGCTTCTTCCAGCGGATCTGGGGAGTAAGCCTGGAGATCGAGGCACCAGAGTGCATATGAGCTATAGTCTAAACTCCTTAAAGGGGGTTGCCTAAGGGATGAAATAGGGGACTACTATAGGGGTTATTAAGGGGGATACTAGGAGTTTAGACTATAGCTCATATGGTTTAGAGTTTAGGTCTCTTAGAAGCAGGCTAGACAATCCTGATTTGGGATCTCTAGGAAGACATTCCTTTGCCTCCAGCAAAGTATTGACAGTCATCAGCGGCGTCCTAGAAAGCCTTTCTCTATAGGGTCCTGGGGATTGACTTTTAATGCGGCACTATGCCAAGCATGTCTGTCAGTAACAGGCATGCGAGCTTCATCGTTGGGTTTTACGTGGTTGCTATTGAGGAACTGAAACTAAGTCACTATAATACTGAAAACCTACTATTTACTATACACCCATATCATGGTAACTTAACCTAAGGTCCTTAACAGCTACCCCACTCTATAACTGTTACAGAAACCGTATATACCCCTATAAGCCCAGTTTCCATTTCATGTTCCATGTTCTTTTCCATTTGATTCTCCAGTATTGGGGTTGATATCCCTAAGCCCTAAACCCCAATAGTAGTTTCCATCTTCTCTTCCATTCTCCTTACATCATCCCTATTTATCCTAAACCTTGAACCTTAAACCCTAAACCCTTAGGGGATTGAAGGTCTTCTCCGAAATGCTTTGCCAGACCTGGAGCCCACCGCTCGCCGACTAAGCACTTGCGGCACCAGAGCTTCTTCCTTGCTTGAGTTCTAGAACCCTTGGAAAAAGGTTAGGTATATTATAGGGTCCTTATGAAACTCATGAGGGAAGTATTAGCCCTTGGAAAATTTCTAGGTACCTGGGGTTCTTCTGAAAAAAAAGGGGGAAAATATTGAAAAACCCAAAGACCAACCCAGCTTCTATGTCTTCTTCAGACTCCATGAGCGCCAGGGCAGCAAGTCAGCGCATGCTTCGGACGCATTAGTCACTGGGGATGACTGCAGCTGTTGATGCTGGCGTGCTGTAGGAAGCTACACGGGTTTGGGGTTGACGTGCAGTCTAGGCTGTCGGGGTAGGTGAAACACCATACAGTGACGGGATTTGTTAAGCTATGTGCAGCAACACTTTGCAGCTACTCTGACAAGATGTTCAGAATGTGCCAACTGAGTGACAGCTGTGGCATGTGCAGCATGCTCTTGCCACTTTGAAGTCAAGCACCCCCTTCTGTGAACAATGATTTAGTTTGGCGGGGGTTGGCGCTGAGAGCCCAAGGGCCGACCAGGAGCAGCGGCATCAAGCATATTCTTGGCCAGCTTAGCCGCACTGACAGTGACCAACAACATAATGTTCAGGATGTCAACAATAGCAGTTGTACTCACAGCAAGCCCAACCTCCAATACAGCCGCACCGCTTTCTCTTTTGCAACTCCTAGATTCAGCACGCGAGCAAACAGGATGCTGAGAATCCTGCTCCGAGGTGGGTTGATGGCCATGGGCGACGACATCTGCGACTGGCACTGCTAGCGGTATTTCTGCTATTGAAATTGCTCTTCTGGCGACGTTGCTTTGCTTGACTAGCATTCTCTTGCTTGCTCTTGTGATCTTCACTATCATGAAAACCCTTTCCTCGCAATGGGATCTCCCATCAGTACTAGAACTCAGCTGCGAAACCTCTCTTGTAACATGCAAGCATTTGCGTAGATGCACGCTCTGCGCAGCCAGACAGCAGACCTCAATGCTGGGCATCTCGACATTTTCAGCTGCCTTACAGGAGTTTCCAGAAGTAGCACAGGGTGCCCCAAATGTGCACCCCAAAATGCTATCATCCCCATATTGTGCTTCATGAGCGAAGGAACGCAGCCACGCGCCTGCAGCGACGGCAAACCATGAGACTAAATAACCACTCATGTAGGGTTATACAGGGATGTGTAGGATGTAGGCTTTTCATTAGTTATTACCCCGAAAACGGAGAATCAACATGAATCAAATGCAACATCGAAAGAACAACGACCTGGAAGCTGTTGAGCCTTTGGAATTTTGAGTTGCCACAATTGCGAACCATATGGAAAGTGACATGGACATGAAAACTACGCTATGCAGGGCTTCTGGCTGCCATGAGTCAAATGGACCAGAAAATGGGAAGTCCATGGAAGCTACGGTTTATGGTCGAGATTTTTAGGAAAATAATGGACAGCGAAATGGACACTGGACTTTGGTAGGGGGTTGCCAACAATCCAAGCTCAAAGGTGTTGAGGGGTTCCTCGCAAGTTCACAAACATGAGACTAACAATAAGTATAAGAACTAGTATACGGACTGGTTTTGGGATCTCAGAAGGATAACATCCTTCTGTCTGCTACACTCGTCGGCCTTGAGATTGTAATTGCACACTTGCTGACTCAGCTCAAACCTACCCTCTCTTGAACAACAGGAAGCATGCGCGGTCGATCCTTTTAAGTCGGCGTAGTTGAACTGACTGTACATAACTCCGGTGGCATCTTCGGCCGCACTGCTGCGCTGTTTTCACAGTGAGCTCTTGGTACTCGCCTCTTCCTGAATTCCTCACCAGACAATTTTGTGTCTCCCGACCACCCTGATGACGTTTGGGTAGCTGGTACCCAAAAAGATAACTGCAAAAATCCAGGCAGTGCATGGGTGAAGGTCGTGTGTCAATGGGCCTTGACCTCCGTGGTAGTTTCCCAAAATAGGGGGACCCCAATATAGAACCTAATATGCCATAACGCATTCTTTTAATAGGGACACCCCACAAAGGTACCCCTAATTTTGGGAATCCCCGCCAGTTTTCTAATGGGTAAAGCGTTTGCATCCTGATGGCAGTCTGGGTTCTTCATGCGGAAAGTTGGTTTCTGTACCCGCTACTAACTACTATATACACTTGGTACCCACAGGAGGCGCATATGTGAGTCATCTAAGCTTCGAACCTAAACCCTAAACCCCTAAGCCAAGCTTTGAGCGCATCAGCCGCTGAACCACTGTGACGCAGGAATCACGTTCTTCTTGCCCTGCTGGCCCTTCTTCTTCTTCTGGCCGCCCTGCTTGGGCTTCGGGCTAATTGGGGTGTAGATTGGGGTAACATTAGTAATGGAAAAGAAAATGGAAACTACTATAGTATATTGGGGGAAAATATAGGGATCATGGAAAAGAAAATGGAAACTACCATTTAAGGTTTAGGGTGTAGGTTTGAGTTTTCGGGCTAAGGTTTTTCAAGGGGTATACATGGGTATATGGGAATGTTAGGGTTAAGCAGAGTGGAAAGACATGGCAGGCACCATATGTTTTAGGGTCTATGGTTGAGGGATGTAGGCGTCTGTTTAGGTTGTATTAGAGTGATCGAGAGTCAATGGGACAAGAAAATGGAACATGAAAGGGCGAGAAGGGGTTGATACATAGGGGTTATGCGAGGGCCTATTTAATTGGAATTGGGTTTGTGGCTGTATTATACACTAAAAGTCTATAGTCCCCCTTAAGTAGAAAATCTGGGGTATATGGGGATCTTATTATACTATATTCAAAGCCATATTCTATCTACTTTGGGGGGAATGCGGGAGTCATGTTAGCCATTCTTCAAACTTCTACAGTAATGATAAGTGAAGGCTTTGCCGGAGCTGCTACTTTACCAAACACAGAGAGAACAGGACCATGCAAAGGTGGGTTCTGCAGGAAGTAGGAACCCAAAAATGACAAGATTCCCTACAACCTAAACAGCCTGGAAATCTAAACCCCAAAACCTTGATCTTAAACCCTACAACCTAAACCCTAAGCCCTAAACCCTAAGCCCTAAGCCCTAAACCCTGAGCCCTAACTCTGCCTCCTTCGCCGGAGCTTCTTCAAGCTCCTCCCCTCGGCGCTGTTTTTCATTTCGGGGTCTGATCCTTCTTGGGAGCCTCTATGCTCAGCATTACGCAAATCTACGGGTGTACGAGGGGAATTTCAAGTTCGGAAATGCGCGTGTAGGAACTTGGAAGGGTTCCCGAAATATGGTTTAGCGTTCAGGCAGGGTACCTGGGGACCCTGGGGATGGATGGAGGCTGTATTACATCCACAACCCCACTCTGTAGGGCTTGGGCTCAGGGCTTGAGGAGTTTGGAGGGTGAGGGGGTCAGGGTTCCATCTGCTCACATGTCACAGGATGCCAGGTAGGCGCTATGCTCAGCCTAGGGGCCCTCCTTTAGCCAATGGAGTAGAGGCTACAGAGAGTGTCTGTGGGATTTCCAAACTTATACTTTTTTGTCATCGCGATGGTAGTCGCCCTCAAAATCACCAAGGTATGGTACTATGGCATACGGATGATAAGGGTGGGAGCCTCTGTGATTTACCCACGAACTCCCATGTGGTTCTTTTGCTGCGCTTGCTATTTTTTGAGGAGAGGGATGCTGAGGAGCCTTTGGACAGGGCTCTATTATAGAAACAACGGGATCCCACTTTCAAGTTACTTGCATTCTGTACTTACCTAGGTAAAGCTGTGTGACGGCTTAGAAGCCACGCAGTCTTGGGAAAATCATACTGAAGGGCTTCATCCAGCGTTTTTACTGCATCGACAAAAACAGGGCTAGAACGATTGGAAGAATCCTTGTGGATACCGTGTGAGCGTATCCTACCGTACAAGAGCGTAGTACTCTGCCGAAACAGAACAAAACAATCCCAGCTTTTTTCTTTCCTCTTCCCTTCCCCCTGAAAAAGTCGGATTCGCCCCAAACATAACCCAACAAGTCTAAGACAACAAAACCTTAGGCTGAGGACGGGACCTTTTTTCAGCAAGACAAGCTCCTGCAACAGCAAGGCCGTTGGCTCAACACTTTCTGTCCATCGGTCACCGGTCTAAACCCCTTAAGGAGGATTATATGGGGGCGTATTTTAGGGCCTATTAAAGGGGAATACTTGAAGTTTAGACGCTCTGCGAGAGAAGAAACTTCCTTCCGCTTAAATGCAGGATCTCAACTGCTAGATTCACTCAAGCAAGGGCTTCCCCAAGATTCCAGAAGAATCTGGAATCTGAGGGGAAGCAGATGAAACCCAAAAGTAAACAAAGCAGCTGGTCTCCAGAGAGTGCAGAGAGGGAACTGCACAGTCTGAGCTTGCCTTCGTAAGACCTTGAGGACAGGAAACCTCGGTTCAAGTTTTAAAGTTACTAAACGACAGTGTCCAGGGCCGGATGTAGCCTAAATTCCAATCAACAGTATAGTGGCGAGAAATGATTCTCAACCAAGAACTTTACCGAACAACACTGCGACCTAAAGCTCCGAGCTGAAACTTTGGAGCCCAGTCCTTGTCTGCGTGAAGAGGCACAAGCTCCTGCCATCAAACATACTCATATAGAGGCTTTCTAGGGGTTATATAGGGATAATGCTACTATAATGGGGTTATATAGGGTTTATAATGTTCCCCATTCTTAGACTTCATTGCGTGGAAGTGTCGACTTCAGGGTCCCCAGCATGATCTCTAAAAACGGTGGTACACCATAAGGAAAGACACTGAACATGGGAGGCTTTTGATGGAGGAAGCCCGTATCTGGCTTGCCAAAACTCCTGGCGGCTAGATTCCCTGAACACGTGCATGACTCTAGATACGTAATTGGCTGTTTTGATTCCCAAACTTCTACTGCTTCGGGAGATGTCCAGAATGAAAACTGTCATGTTCGCATCCTGAAATGGTAGGAAGTGCTGAACTAAAGAAATATGAGATCTGCGCGGGAGTTTGTTGATGAGCGGGACAGGAAAGATACAGTTCACCCGCAGCACATCGGCAGCATCATGCTCACTTCTCTAAGGAGGTATCAATGCAGCTAGCATCAAAAGCATACTTAGAGACCTGCCTACCCAGGAGGCAATAAGGAATCCATCTCTGACTATTCAAGCTGATGGGACTTGTGAGGATTCCTAAAATTAGGGATACGTTTTTGGGGGTCCCTATAATAAGGCTCCCTATAATGAGCTCATAGCATACTGGGGTCTATACTGGGGGCCCCCTATTCAGGGAAACTACCATAAAGGGAATAGGAAGACATTAAGGGGGTTCCCTGGGAAAGATACCTAAGGCCTGTTGTGAGAAACTGCTATACAAGCCCCATCCTAAGAACCTCACATGAGACTCGCGCACAACAAGCTGTAGCCAGCAGAGAACAGACTCTAACCACAGGCACATATCTAGAACTCTCTCTCCTCTGACCCCTGCCTCCTCCTTGCCATCTGCTCTCGAAGTGCTGCTTGCCTTACATTGGCTACTGAGAGGAGCCGCCTGGGAGACGGATTAGGTATGGCCAGGTACATCAAAAGTTCATCAGTCATGAGGTATGAGGAGCGAAGGGGTGGGCCAGGACAGCTCTGCTGCTTTGTGCTGCTGCTGCTGCTGCTGCTGCTGCTGCTCCTCCTGCTCTTGTTGCTGCCAAATTGACGTTGTCTTTTGGGAAGCCTTGTCTTCAGGGTCTCCTACTCCTCCGCCTCGTCTAATTGCTACTGCCAACATGCCGCAGCTGCCGTTACACTTGTC